CAGGCAGGGCCCACCCAGGCAGGGCCACCCAGGCAGGGCCACCCAGGCAGAGCCCACCCAGGCAGGGCCACCCAGGCAGAGCCCACCCAGGCAGGGCCACCCAGGCAGGCACTGCAGTAATAATAGGCGAGCAGAGGACGGAACCTACAAACAAGGCAGGTGAGGTAGCAGGAGAGGTGGGTGGAGGCCAGGCGGGGCTCAGCATTGTGAAGGGAAGGGTTTGACTTCAAGAGGGATTTTTCTACTCTGCCCCCAGGACCCCCAGCCTCCCAGCCCTCCCAGCATGCAGTGCTCTTGGCCTGAGGAGGAGGGGAAGCCAGGCCCAGCAGGGCTGGTGGCTCTGGACAGCCCCAGGGAGTGCAGGCTGCACCCCTAAGGAGCCCCGCCATGCCATGCTGGGAGGGAGGCGCAGCCGGCCGCCACGTCCTGACCCAGTTCCCCCTCGTGCGCAGCTGCCAGGCGTTAGAGCATCTCCCCTCCAGGGCCCGCGCGCCCGGGCTGGCGGCTGGGCCGTGCGTCCTGAGCACCGAGAGGCCGTGGCCCCCTGAGTCGGCTGGAGGCCAGGAGGCCGGACGTCGCTGCTCCCCCCATGGGATGGTACGGGGTCCTGGGGGGGCCAGCGCCCTCTCCCCACAGAGCCGCCCCGTCCCTCACGGGCTCTGTGGGCCCTATGGAGTGTGCCTGCTGACCTTGGCCATGGGCAGGGCAAAGGCAGTGGTGAGGGCCGGGCTTGGGGCCCCAGACCCACTCTGTGACCTGGGGCCGGCTGCCCACCGTCTTCATGCCTGGGCATCCTCTTCTGAGGAGGACATGCCATCACGCTGTGAACAGTGACAGGTGCATGCATGTCGCTGGCCTAGGGGAGGGCTTGGCACGCAGTGGTGATGGGCTCGCGGTGACGGTTGTCAGCAGGACTTCACTTCGCTCCATGGTGGCCCTGGAGAGCTACCTTCAGGAGCCCTGAGACTTCCTGGGGGCGGGATCCATGGGGGTGCAACAGCAGAACCTCAGGGCCTGAGCGCCTCCCCCGGAAGCCTTCCCTGACGCCCCAAGTTCCCACAGCGCTGAGCACCTCAGCTACTCCTGCCCTGGTCGCCCTGCCCGGTGACGTGTCTGTCTGCCCTCTGGACCGTGAGAGGCAGGGCTGGCGCTGCCGTCTCCCCACACATCCGCACGGGGTGGTGCCAGGAATGCTGGGTAACAAGGGGTGGACAGGCGGACATCCGGCTGTGCTCACAGGCACAGAGGCCTCGATGGAGGCGGCTGCAGGAGCCAGCCCCACACGACGGCCCAGGCTCCTCTGGACAGAAGGCGTGGCGAGCCCGGCTGGCAGGGGCTCAGGAAGCCAGAACAGGGACAGCGGCGGTGGGCCTGGGCGGGCGGAGGTGGGCGATGGGCAGAGGTGCGTGAGTGAGGCGTCTGCCACTCGGGCATCTCACCTGGGCTGGGGAGGGCTTCTTCGGCTCTGACCTCCCTGTGCTCTGTCCGCAGAGATTGGCCGATGCCGCAGAGACCTTCCAGAAAGCCCACCGCTGGCAGGACAACATCAAGGTGAGAACGGCGCCCTCCCAGCCCAGCACCTGCCCACCCCCGGGCGCCGCTGGAGCCCCGCTCCCTGCACTCCCGTCACAGTCCCTGTGCAGCCCCGCAAGGCCGCGTGCTTCTCTGGGCTTCAGGGTCCCCATGTGACAGGGACTGGCTGGTGCGGCTGCTGCCCGTCAGCTCGGACGTGGTGCATGAAAGGGGCGTCCGCCTGTCAAGCCGTTAGGTGCCAAGTCAGTGACGGGGTGGGTGCAGCTGTGGGCACGGCAGCCCCTGGGCCCTGGGTGCTCCTGTCCTGAGATGAGGCAGGCGTGGGCTCTGGCTGGTCCACTCCCCCAGCGTGGCCTGAGATGCCCCTCTAGCGGCGGGTGTGGCCACAGGCCCAGCGGGGCCCAGCCTGGTTGCCCGGTGCTCACAGTGCCCCTCCCCGGTCCGTCAGCTTTCCTGTCTGTGTGTCCCAGTCTCGGGTGGAGCTGGAGTCACCCCCCCTCCGCAGCAGGGTCAGGTCCTGGACTCCCCGGCGACCAGGCTGCCAGGCGCTCATCAGGCTGATGGCGGCCCATTAGCCGACGCCGCCACCCTGCCGGGGCTGCCAGGGGGACTGGCCGCAGCTGCAGGTGGGGACTGGCCAGGCCGAGGGAGAGGTGGATGCTTGAGGCTGGGAAGGCACACCACCCGCTTCTGGCACCATGTCCTTCCCAATGACCTTCAGGAGGCGACAGATAGAGCCAGGTTCCTCCCCGCACTCAAGAGGGGCACCGGCCTGTGCCACAACCCATGTCAAACTCGGGCCCTTTTGGAAAGCCTGTCCGTGTGCCTGGCTGGGTGCCCCGTGGACAGGTGACCAGGAGCCGCTGGGACTCGGTCTTCTCATCTCTGAAATGGGGAGGATGGCACCCGGCAGTTCTGGGCACAGATGCTTGGCCCACGGGGGCCAAACTGGAACCCACTGCATGATCAGCAGCACAGTAGGTCTGCACGTAGACTTCTGGGAAACGGACAGTGGTGACCCCTTACCCACACACACACACCCTACCAAGCCCAGCCTGGGGACGCGGGTCCTGGAGTCTCCAGGGTCAGAGCTGGGACAGGAGAGGGAGGGGGAGATGTCTGGCCAGGAAGCCCCTGCCTAGTCCCAGGTCATGACCGCACACCCCTGGCCATGGCGGGCAGGGAGCCTGTAGTCCCAGCCCGTGGACACCTGAGAAACCGTGGCCTGTGAGCAGGCGGCACCTCCGTGGCCCGCAGATGCCAGGCAGCAGGTGCTCTGGTGCCCATAACACTCAGGGCAGATGACGGCGGCCCGCCTGGCGGACACTGTGCCTGGCGCCAGCACCTCACTGCGCCATCATTACCCGCCGTCTACACCGCCAGCAGGAAGGAGCTGGGCCAGGAC